AAAACTGCAATTTTAGAGAAAATATGGGCCAAAAGTGAAAAAATCAAAATTTTCTGAAGATTTAAAGCTCGGACCCCCGTCCCAGTTTTAGTGCAAATCGTGGGACCCCCGTCCGAGACTCCGAAGTTGCGCAGAAAAGGGATTTTAATTGCACAAGTAAGCTGCTTTCTTCCCCAAGTTATTCACCCTATATAAGACCAAGTCAGGCACACAATTAGGGAATCTTTTTATCATCTATCTTTTATCTTTCATCTTTCTACACGCGATCAAGAAGCACAAGAACGAAGACGAAGACTTGCCGAATCTTCATCATAGTTCTCCTCTTTTATTTTTATTCATAGCTTTTATGGTTTTTCATATTTTTATTATGCTTTCCGTAGAGAACATGAGTAGCTAAGTTTTTATTCTAGGATTTTGTTGGAACCCTATGTGGTAATTCGAACCTCTTTTTCTACTTTTATGCAAGTTCAATTCTTCGATTATTTCTTCTATTTTGATCTTATTTAACGCATGGACGTAGCTAATTTATGTTGCTATGTGTTATTATTAGAATTGATTGACAGATCATTTTAATAATTAGAACAGGGATAGAAGAGCCTTCGAGTAGTTTTCACCGAATGCGTGTGTTGATTGCATGTATTATCGTAGACATACAGATAATACCTTAGGTAGCCGTTTTCGAGACTTGTTATTTAATGCTTTATTCATACTAGGTTTGCATAGACATATAGTGAATCTTTTATGAATAATAGACTTATAATACAGCGACAGCTGGTTATGAGTAATTTCGTGTCTTGGGTTAATAATCGGGAATCGTAACTTGCATGATAGGAGATTAATTGGGTGAAGAATTATCGCATAGGGGGAAGATAAAATCCTAGATCCGTTTTATATTGATATTTTCTCTTGTTTAATTGCTTTCTTAATTAGTTTAATTTAATTAGTTAATTAATTTGACAAACTTGCGTAGGCTGGATAAAAATCGTATTGTTAAAATTTGGTACTTAGGATTAAATAATTTGCGTATTCCCTGTGAGATCGACATCCGACTCTCACGAGTCTACTTTACTACTTGTTTGCGATACGTGCACTTGCGTTTTGGTATTTAGCACCCAACATTAATTAAAACACGAAATTTACATAAAACTTTTAGACGTGTTTTGAAGTCTAATGGAGTCTTTTAGTAAATTGACTCATTTTTTGCATTGAGATAATAAGAATACTCGAGTATTTTTATATACATATAAAACATAAATATAATTTTTTTACAATTATTATGATAATTATATTTTAACTAATTATTAAACTTGATTGCAAGAATACGTTCTTTTGATAAAATATAAATATTCTTAGTCTCGGTTAATATAATAAAGTATTTGAGGGTAATGTTGTATTTTGAGTGTTTTAGTAAAGACGCAAATAAGATCTTAAAGAAAAAGGGTGGGGTGGAGATACTACTTTTTTAAAACTGAAATGATTTACGCGGCAGCAAAATTACGAATGTCGTTCACAATAGTCTTCTCTTTCTCTCTCTAAAAACCCAAAAATCCACCCAAACCCCAAAACCCCCCAAAACCCCCAAAATTCACAAAAATTCTCAACCTCTCTCACAAATCCTTCCAAATCCGAAAATCTCGTCAATTTAAAAGGTAATTAATCATCTAAAGTAGTTATATATATTGAATTTGTGGTAAATCATGTTAAAATCCCCAAAAAATCGCGATTTGGGGCAGTTTTTAGTGTTGGGTTTTCGAATTTTCCACGCCCAAAATGGGAGAGTGAAAGCAGTTTTCACGCCTAAACCAGGCGTGAAAATTGCTTTCACACGCCCATTATGGGCATGGAAAATTAGTTCGGGCGTCCGGTCCAGACGCCGGTTCCGACCGGTCATCCGGTTCAATTTTTTTTTTTGCCCAGTATAAACAAAATCAGTTATTATATTTAAATAAGTATTAAATAACAAACTCGCTTTAGCCTAGTTGGTCAGATGTCTTGTCTAATTATACATCCGTGTTCGATTCTTGGCAACAACGCGTTTTATCAATTTTTTTCGCCCAGTTTATTAAATATAATTAAATATCAATTTTTTTCGCCCAGTTTATTAAATATAATTAAATAAAAATATCATAAAATAGCTGTAGCCTAGTTGTTCAGGTAAGTTGGTAAGTCCTAGTAAGGACCCGCTTTCGAATCCTTATACTAGCACTAATATGTATTTTTGTAATTAAAACTTAGTCTCTGCGCGCGCCCGGCTTGGGCGCCGAGCGCGGGAAGTACTTTATTAAATATAATTAAATAAAAATATCATAAAATAGCTGTAGCCCAGTTGGTCAGGTAAGTTGGTAAGTCCTAGTAAGGACTTGCTTTTGAATCCTTATACTAGCACTAATATGTATTTTTTTAATTAAAACTCAGTCTCTGCGCGCCCCTAGCTTGGGCACGGAAAGTTGTGTTGCGCGCCCAAACCGAGCGCGGGAAGTACTTTTTCGCGCCCAAACCGAGCATGAATCAGGTTTTTTTTTTTAATTAAAACTCAGTCTTTGCGCACGACCGGCTTGGGCGCGGAAAGTTGTGTTGCGCGCCCAAAACGGGCACGGGAAGTACTTTTTCGCGCCCAATCCGGGCGTGAATCGGGCTTTTTAGCACCCAGTTTGGTCGTGGGTCGCGTTTTCGCGATTAAAAGAACAAAAACGAACAAATTTTACCTCATTGTGTTCCGTATCTCGATCCTCATTCGATGCACTCATTTCTTTTTGCAAATGGTTACCATAACATGAGTTTTGGAATGATTTCTAACATAAAAGCTAAAATTGTAGAGAGAGAAAGAAAGATAGAGAGTGGATTTTTTAAACCCGCATTCGTGATTTTGCTATCGCGAATAGCACGTCCCTTTTTAAAAACATCTTATAAGATCTCTAACAACTTCTTTTTGGAAAAATAAGAGTTTTTCTAATTTTTTTTTTACCAAGCACTTTTAACAGCTTATAAACTCTTAAACATCTTATAAAATAGTTTTAGGAACTTATAAGTGAGCGTGGCCAGGCCCGGCCCAAGGCCAAGGCGGGTAAGGCCACCGCCTTGGGCCTCCGAAAAAATCAATTTTTTAAGCCCTCCAATTTCTCATAACATGTTATATACTTTTATATGTAAAAAATAAATTACAGTTGTTTTTAGCTTAACTGGTTTTTCCTTACCTTGGATTGATGAATGTTCTGAAAAAGAGGCCCAAAACCAATATTTCTTTTTCCATTTGTTTTTCTTAAAAAGAGGCCCAAACAAATTAAAATTAATCCAATAATTTTATTTATATATTCAAGTCCTTTATTTTGTCGATTTTGGAACAATATTTTTTATTTTAAATTCCAAAAAATTTTGTTTCCGATTTTTCAAATTTGTTTTTACCGGAATGGTATATAAGATTCCGATTTCCATTTTATTTTAAATCTTAAAAAAGATAGATGACTAATAATTGGATATTTTTTTCTGAATCTTGCCGATTACGACTCAAAAATTTCCAATTTTAAAATGAATCCAATCAAATTTTTGAATTTTCGATTCCTGGGTTATTTTATTTTCTTATTATTTTTGTTTTTCTTTAACGGAATCTAGATTAGTTTTTCACTCCAATTTTTTTTTTTTTTGTTTGTTTGAAATTTTTCCAAAATTCATTTGATTTCCACCCATACACACACATCAGGGAAGACATTTAGACCCAATATTCTGAATACAAATACGAGAAAAAAACAAAAAAAAAAACACGGGGGCCTCATTTATTGTGTTCGCCTTAGGCCTCCCAGATAGACACGGCCACGGGCCGGTTTTGGGCCCAGAACCGGCCCGAACCGGCCCGTTAACCGAGTGAACCGGCCCGGACCCGTGAACCGGCCCGTCCTACCCGGGACGGGCCCGGTTCTGAGAAATGGTGAACCGTGAACCGCCCGGCCGGCCCGGCGGTTCACCCGGATTTTTTTTTTTTTTTTTTAAATTCAAAAAAATTCAAAAAAAAAAAAGCAAATAACGGCTAGTGAACCGGCCCGAACCGGCCCGGGTGAACCGGCCGTTATTTACTTTTTTTTTGAATTTTTTTCCTCCCCAATTTTTCCTATAAATACCCTCACACCCCAATTTTTCCTATAATTTACTTATTTATCAAATATTTCAAACTTGTGCTTCTAAATTGACTTTTCATTTATTTGCTTTTCCTTTTTTCTTTTTAAAAGTACTTCTTTTAATTTACTTATTCATCAAATATTTCAAAAAAAAAATTCAAAATTTCCGGGCCGACCCGGATAGGCCCGAACCGGCGGGCCGACCCGGCCCGCTGAACCGTCCATACTACGGGCCGGTTCCGGTTCCGAAAAATGTGAACCGTGAACCGGTTTGAACGGGCCCGAACCGGCCCGTGTCTACTCCCAGACCCTAGGGCCGGTCCTGAGCGTGGCTACAAGGATATTTCAATTTTTTTCATATTGAACCTTTTCGAGTATTTTTGTATGATAGTAGATTTGATTAGTTGTATCGTCACAAATAGCAAAAATAAGAAAATTATGTACTATATTATAAATACAAAATATAATTCCCACTGTTGAATGACCATCTCAACCAAAAGCTTAAGTTTTTAGTGAAATGTATCATACTGTTGAATGACCATCTCAACCAAAAGCTTAAGTTTTTAGTGAAATGTATCATTTAGTATTAATATCTCCAACACGCCCCCTCAAGTGCAGGCGAATTACAAGCTTTTAGTGAAATGTATCATTTAGTATTAATATCTCCAACACGCTCCCTCAAGTGCAGAATTACATTTGAAACGTTGCACTTGAAATATTTAAATTGGGTGGCGGTGGGATTCGAACTCAGGACCTTTCATTTGGCCTGGCTCTATACCATGTTGAATGATTATCTCAACCAAAAGCTTAGCTTTTAGTGAAATGTATCGTTTAGTATTAATATCTCCAACACCCACCAATTCAATTATTAAAATTCTTATAGCAAGTGACAGAGAGCCCCAAATAGTTTTTCATGTGATTTAAACAACAAAGACAGTATAAATTTCCATGCAATGGATCGGAGATTTGGCAAACCTCTTCTCAAACTGCATCAACACCAAGAATCTCAAGCTCGGGAGATCCCTACACTCCCACCTAATCAAAACAGCTTTTATCATCGACACATTTTTCACCAACCGCCTAATGCAGATTTACTCCAGATGCAACTCCATTGATGATGCCCAGAAAACCTTCGATGATCTCACATCCAAAAACGCCCACTCGTGGAACACGATGATTTCTGCGTATTCTGAAACGGGCCGTTTCGAAAGATCCCGCCACTTGCTCGACGAAATGCCTGAACCAAATCTCGTTACCTATAACTCCATGATTTCCAGCTTCTGTCGAAGTGGGTTTGATAAGGAAGCTGTGAATTTGTTCAAAGGGATGCAGAAAACGAGTCGGAATGCGGTACTGATGGATGAGTTCACCGTTGTCGGTTTGGCGAACGCATGCGCTAATTTGGCTGCGTTGGAGTTGTTGCGCCAGGTACATGATGCTTCGATAATAATGGGGTTGGATTTCAATAGGGTGGTTTGCAATGCTTTAATCGACGCTTATGGGAAATGCGGTGTGCCAAAGAGTTCTTATTCGATATTCAGTCAAATGGTGGAGAAAGATGTCGTTTCTTGGACTGCTTTAATCATGGGCTTGGCACAGAACGGTGAAGGAGAAAAAGCTTTGTACTTTTTCACAAAAATGCAGGATGAAGGTATAATCGCCAACGATATTACATACGTTAGTGCATTAAGTGCCTGTGCAGATTTAGCTCTCGTAGAAAAAGGGAAGCAAATCCAGTGTTTCATCATCAGAAATAGGAGTAGTAGTCTCTTCAATAACGTGTTCATAGTTAACGCGCTAATCGACATGTACAGTAAGTGCGGTGAGATGATATCTTCGATGAGGTTATTTACGAGACTCCACAAGAAAGACATCGTCACATGGAATTCACTAATAACGGGCTTTGCTCAAAACGGACAAGGAGAGGCTTCGCTTGCTGTATTTGAGATGATGGTGCAAGAAAATGTAAGACCGAATCACGTGACATTTGTTGGTGTACTATCAGCTTGTAGTCACTCGGGTTTAGTGTCTGAAGGGCTTCGTTTTCTTGCTACAATGGAGGAGAGGTATAATTTGATCCCACGATCGGATCACTACGCAATTATTGTAGATTTGCTCGGACGAAAAAACAGACTTGGAGAAGCGTTGGAGGTGATCGAGAAGGCTAATTACGGTTCTAGCCTAATCGGAATGTGGGGTTCTCTTCTGGCGAATTCTCGCGTTTATGGGAATTTGGAATTTGCGAAAAGGGCGGCTGAAGCTCTGTTTGAGCTTGAGCCTGAAAATACGGGAAGATATGTTATGTTGTCGAATATTTACGCGAATGCTGGTATGTGGGACGATGCTCGTGAAATAAGAAGGGTTATGGAGGAAATGGAACTGACGAAAGAAGCGGGGTCCAGTTGGATAGAGGTCAAGAATGTGAGACATGTGTTTGTAGTTGAGGACATGTCTGAACATAAGTTAGAAGATGATATACGAGGATTACTTGCGAACCTTGTCGCTCAAATGAAGGATGTTGGTTAGTGGTAACATGTACTAAAAGAGTGCATTGAACTGATTAAGCAAGAATTTTGTACTCGTGGGGGCAAATGTATTTTTTTAAATATCTTGGGTCAATTGATAATACTACACTAGTTGAAAAATATTACGGGTGCACGCTTCGTAGTTTTATACTGGCTGCACCACTAGTCGTCAACCTTCTACACTGGAACCTTTAAGTATTCTTTTGATTCTTGATTAATTTGATCCAGTTTTCTTGATGTCAATAAGCCACGATCGGTCAAATCGTTTCTTAAGGTCGCATTACGATGAAAAGATTGAAATCAAAGGAAAAGGTATATTTCGATGGAAGGATTTGAATGTTGAATGACTTAATATAAAGTGTAGATACTAATTATTGTGTTTGTTTCGTTGTTGAACTGCATCCCAAATTGCACGTTGGATCATACCGAGAAAATAAACTCGAGTCTTGGTCATGAATTCCAAATTGCCTTTAGACCCAAATGGAAGCTTCCACGATACTTGGAATGTGCAAGTTGCAACGGTGCAAGTCACTTATTTTCTTCTTAAAGTGGGGCATAAAAGGCGTTGAGCAGTTGAAAATACTCGTTCGGGATCTCGATTTCTATGCTGAATACTTTAAAGAAAGTAAATTGTACGATGATAGCAATGTCGTAATCAACACTTGAAACGCTTTATTGAAAGAAAGTGAAATTAGGGGCAGAATTTTCCTACAATTGGAACAATTTTGGAGGTCATAAACAAAATTTCCAGTTGTCCCCATGCAGACGGCAAAGACTTGGAACAATATAGTGCAGAAAATGCCAATTTTAAACCATTTTTTTCTCTTACCACACTATCTTTATACACAACCACTAAGCCTATTGCAGTTATATTAAAGCTTCATTAAAATCACATCCTTTCCCTCCAGCATCTCTTTCTTTCATCTTGCTACAAACAAAACTGTTGCATTTTTTTGACGACACCAAAAAGCTGCTATTAGCATTTTCTTAGCACGATGGGAAAATCGTGCGATTTCGAATTCTGGGAAGAAAGCTTACCGATTAAAAATCATACTTCTCCTCCGCGGTGGACAAAACCAAGAGCCGATTTCAGACAAGAAACTCAGGCTTTGATTCCGCAAAACGATCACCAATACAGCCGTATACTGTCTCCAAAATCGCGTGTGAGGGCAATCGAGGATGGCAGAAGGGAGCTCATGGAGATGGTGAAGAACATTCCGGAATCTTCCTACGAACTGTCACTGAAAGATATAGTTGATGGTCATCAAAACGTGGAACAAGTAAAAGAGAAGAAAAAGAAGCATAAGGCACAACAGAGTAAAAAAACCAAGAGTGGTCAAATGTGCAGGACTGCAAGCATGGAGAGCGAAATGTTCTTGCTAAAGGTGTTTGTACCTGTAACTCTGAGTTTCAAGAAGAAACCAAAGGCTGTAAAAAACTCGGAAATCTGTGCGGGCCCGTCATCTGACAAACAAAGGACTAAAAACTGGTGGAAGATGGTATCTTTAGCAGTTAAAGATAATCAGAACAGCAGAAGAAGTAATATCAGCAGCAATAGAAACAGGTACGCATTCAGTAATTTTTGCTCTACCAGCACAAGTCACAATACTCGTACGAGAGAAAAATTAAAGAAGCAGCTAAACGTTGAAAATTGAAATAAGCAAAAAATATAGAAAATTGTCGAAGTTTCATTTCTGTTTGATTGATTGTAACATGATACATTGTCAATTATCCTCCAGTGGGAAGAAATGCAAACCAAGAGAACAAAGAGGATGCCTCTTCTGAAAGAGTTTGACACAGGCTACAAATGATAATCACTCAAACAAGCCCAAAAAGGTAATTGCACACGAAAATGCTCAGAGCTCGAAGAACTGCGGAGCTCGGATTGGAATGTTGCTTAAGCAGAGGGCAAACGAGAATCCCGTTTAAATGTAATTTTGAAAAATTCCACCATTTGTTCGAGAACATGTGGTACGTTTACAGAAATAATAAAGCGATAACTAGAAAATGTCAAGACCTAAACTAAGAAACTCCAGATTTTTTCCACTTTTTGGTCATAAACAAAACCAATGTTTCACAAGAATCTGTACAAACAGTCGGAATATAAGCATCACGAGATGCAGCCTGATATAAATTTCCTTTTCCCAACTTGAAACAAATCCAGTGATTGGATGATTTGACGGAAATACGCACTACTGAGAAGAAACCTAGCACTATCGACTTACGCATGATGAAGTGTATGAAGAACAAAGCAGAAGCTAATAATCTCAATAACAACCCATACAATGCAACATAGAGTCAGGATCCTTTCTTAAAGCTATCCGCGATCGTTTTTATTCTTCAGTGTCGTTTAAAATAGCTCCTCTTACTTTGGACCTGATAAAGGAGATCCTGGTCATTTAGACAAAATATTCACGCAACTGATTTAACAATCCAGAACAAAAGGAACCTGCGAAATGCTGGTACAACACGGTTGGTTCCTTTTCTTGGGCTTGGTTCAGTAATGTGCTTGTCTGCAAGTAGACGTATGTGTGGTTGTTATTTCCCAGCAAGAAATATTAAATAGTACAAACTGTGAGTTGAGAAATAACTAAACAGAAAAAAAGCATAACTTAATCAACTTTACGTAGTAAACTAGTTTTTTCGACCCCACACACACACACAGGGTAGAAATATCAATTCCGACCCGTGCCACAATTTTTACATGCAAATGCTAAACTTAATAGAATCGTCCATCTTCTAACAGTTATGTGACAATCAAAACTGTCTAAAATGTTAATAACAAGCCAACAAAATCAACCAAATGCAGTAAGTCAACGAAGATATGTACAGCCCTCTAGGATATTATGATATGCTGTTTATGACGAAGATGGAATTAAAAATACAGTGTCAATTAACATGAACATTCCCCGGAAAAAAAATACCTGGTGAATCTTGTGAAACCATATTAGATGTAGAATCTGAATTCTCTCTGTCATTTATCTTCTGCGACTTTCTTGAATACAATACCATGTCTAACTGCTTTTGGAGAGTGACATTCTTTTCCTGAAAAAGTTTTGAAGTGAAATTTTAATGTATAAACTGACAGTCACCAATGAGACGGAAAAAAATCGAAATTATCAATGTGACAAAAAATGGCACGTAGTCAAATTGTATGGGAAAAGCACTTCAACCATCATCTTTAAATTGAAAAACGGAAATACGACACATCATGGATACATATTGCAAGCCAATTGAATATAATTGTGAGAATCCAATCATTCCCATATCATAAGGCAACACTTGACCAAGATACTAGACAAGACTCGAAGTTTCTCAAACCTATTATGCATCTTATTCCATATATGCAAACACATCTATTTAATTTATAAGAAAGTGTTATGGATCATAGAAGAGGTAAAGATAGGTTCAATATAAGGTACCAACAGCATTAACTAGTCAAACATCAGTACAGGCGGGAATACCTTTTCAGCTGCTACAGTTTTTGTCAACTGACATTTGCTTTCTTGCTCTGAAGACCAAAGACATGAAAAAAAAATTTTATCAAACTTTCAAGAAAAAAACAAATAAATAAATTAACCAAATTTAACACCGATAGATAAGGTGCATGTAGTGTGTGGCACGGATAATATAAAGTCCATATGATAGCAACATGTAACCAGTATCGATCACGAGGTACGGCATCAAATACAAATAACTGAAAGTAATGCAAGAGATTTATATTTCATTAAGATGTAAACTCGAGCACTGAATTTCCTAATGTCACAGGTTGGTTGATCAACTATTGCTGGTATTGTCATTTATGACTAGCTTGAGATGAACATAAAGTAATATTAGACCTTCTGTAAGTGAACTCTGTACATCCTTGAATTCTTTGTACAGCTCCAACGAAAGTTCGGCCATTGCCTCACCAGCAGCACCATGAACAAGTTTTCCAAGGGAAAAAGAGATTCGCGGCATTCCTTTTGCTTTTTGGGCAATTAATTTTGCATAAGTAGCACCTGCAATCAGATTTGGTACGAGATATAACATGACACATTTATTTTCAGAAGCTCAGAACAGATACTCCTAAACTGATAAGAAAGTAGACAACACGTCATCATTCTTCTGCATGATATAATGGTTACGACCTTTAGAGAAACAAACACCAAATCCATTCATCATAAAGTTACAGTTCAGCAAAAATGTGTTTCCAATAACCACCAAGACACTCAGCCTCACACATATGTGTACCAAACTTGTGCAACACTAGGATAAGGAATAAAGGAGAGAGTAAACATTATGATATTAGTTAACTTTCCTATATCAGAAAATAATAGAACTGAAACAAAATAAATTTAATTTTCATATGAGCATGAAAATTCTCAGCTTTCAATTACAGTTCCTCTGCAACGAACACTCTAAGATGATATATCATAAAAAAGACAAGACTATAAGTATTGACTTACCGCCTGACTCCGACGAACCCTCCATAATAAGCTTCACATCTCCAGATCTCAGGGAAGCCGTGACGTAGTCTACAAAATCGGACCACGAGCCACCAATTCCAATATCATCTCTCTATATATAAAAACCAAAGACCGAAACAACGGTCAGTACATCAAGGCAGTTACATCAAAGTTGACAAAAGTATACAGCATTTTATTAAAGGTTTACATCAACAATCGCTTTGCGAACATGAACTATCTTATACAAGAATTGTATCATGCAAAGAACAATCAACTTCAATATACTCTGTCTTTTATGAAAGATCTGACACAAAAACATAGCTACCTCGTGTTTTCCTATATACTTCATTGAATGAAAATCCTCAAAGAAAAGCTCGTTCAACGTATTCCCCATTCAAACAAATCAGCTCAAAAGTGGTTTGTATTATGTATCCTACTAGAGCAGGTAACGATATTATGCTTCTTAATTCTTACTCTTCCATGAAATAATTGCGTCCAACAAACATCTAGTAACCTGTAATAAGCTTCCTATTACATATTTGGAACAAATAGTCGGCATTTGTATAATGCCCACGAGACCAACCTCTATAAGGTGAGCCTTTCAGATGTGACCCGTAATATATGAAGTGGCATCCAATAACTAGAATATGAGGAAGGATAAACTATCTAACCGATGAAAAATCAATAGAAATGTTTATTCTAGTCATGATAAAATAATTTAATTTTCCTACAAATTGCACACAAGATCCAGATCATTCGGCAGCCCTCACGTAACATATTCTATTTGTTGTCGTTTGATTCCTCGCAGTACTAACAATCTAGCAACTAACATGAAATAACATAATTTCTTTAAAGTGAGGCATTGCCTAGTTTTCAGCATGCAATTTGTCAAAAGAATTTGTTTGGATTTGTTTGGTGCTTTGTTGAAACTGTTTTGGAGAATGTGTTTCAGATAAACGTATTGGAAAATGTATCGGAAAATGTGACGTGTTTCTTTCATTCTGGGGGCCATAAATTGAGATTGAAAGTGCTTTGTGACGAATGAAATACTGAATGAATAACAACACATCTTTACATACCAAAACCTCCCGATTCTCGATCTTACGATTCTAGTTGTATAACGAACCGCCTTGTTAGAAAAACCAGAACGGTAGCATGTCTCTAAGTAATTGTATAATAAAAAAAAAAAAAACGCCATCCAAACGAAGATTGAATTCACTACATCATTACAACAACTACAATTTCTCAGCAATTTCTCAGCATAACAGAGCTATTTCAATACCGTACTGAAATATCAAAACATTTTTTACCTTGATCAGTAATTGGAAAAACAAAAAACCATGAACAGCAAAAAAACAATAAGAATAGTTCAGACGAAATTTGGGGGGAATTAATTTGAACATAGATGCTGAAAAAGGAGAGAGAGAAGATCAACGGTGACTGACCAAATCCTCGAGCTGCTGGCTCGACTTGATGACCTGAAATGTATTGGACTGGAAATCGGTGGCGATTATTCGGAGGGCAGAATCGTCATTTCCGCTGCCGTGCACCTGATACAGAAACGGCGGCGCCGGTGAGGACTGCGGCGGCGACCCTGACCACTCTCCAACCACTCTCCCGAATATCGGCTGCAACTCTCCGAAACTCATTTTTTTCGTTTTCCTTCCGTAATCAAACAATGGAGATGAAAATAATTTACAATAAGAATTTCTCTGTTCTTAAACGGGAAATTTACAGTTTTCAGCCCTCAGGTTTGACTAATTCCACATTTGGTCCTTCATGTTAAAAACAAAATAAATTTGGTCCCTCGTGTTTCAGCAATTTAACACTTTTGGTCTTTTTCGTCAATTTGCCATTACTCCGTCAGTTATGGCATGATGGGCAAACGCTTGATTCCGTCACTACTAACGAAAAATTGATGGAAATGGCTAAAAGTGTTGAATATTTGAAATATGAGGACCAAATGTTTTTTATGAACATGCAAATGTGAAATTAGTGCAAACTTCAGGGACCAAAACTGTATTTTTCCGTTCTTAAACTTTCTTTTCTTTTCTTTTCCTCTAATTTTCTAAAAGTCCCTTAACTTAACTAATATTGTCGGGCTTAAATAATACTTGCCGTAGTCCACTCACCCTATCCACCGATCACAGTCGCTCACCCCACTACACCTAGCCGTCCGCCTAGAAGATGTCGCCGCTGTTCGCGCACACGTCGCCGCCGGAGCCAACAATATCCTTCAAACTCCGCCGGCCGGAACCCGTTGCAGGAGGCCCCCCTCCGCCGATGTTGGAGACCGTCTCTCCCCTCGTCCAACACCACCACATCGACGCCTGGTACAAGTGGCGGTGGTGCCTCCCCCACCTCGTCGTGTGGCCTCCATCGGATGCGTGATTTCTACGTGGAGATTCCCCTTTTTCGATATCTGCCACCTCTCTCACTCTCTCTTTCGTTCACAGCCGCCACGGCTGTTGTCGTCGACTCCCCTCTCTCTTTTTCGTTATTTTTTCATCTCTATTTCTGCATTTTTTTTCTCTTTTTTTTTTCTTTTTCTTCTCCAGATCTGAATATACAGTGTCAGATTTGAGCAGCAGCAGTAATACGACTATAGTCATATTCGAATATGACTATTGTTGAATAGACTGTAGTCATGTTTGAGTATGATTATTGTTAAATATGACTGTAGTCATATTCGAATATGTTTTTTCTTCTCGTTTCAAGTTGACTTGTAATAACAAGATTCAAACTTTATTTTGTGTGGATGTTGATTGGATTGTTTTCGTAAACAATAGGCAATCTTTGTTTTTTATATAATTTGGTAAATATGACTTTACCACACTATATAATCGGAATTTTTAAGTTGAAAATGTAAAAAATGGCAATATAAAGAAATAATATGACTACAGTTGATATAGTCACATATAGTCACATTACACTAAAATCATATTCGGCGTAGTAAACATGTCGAGAAAAAAAAATCATTTTTTTGCTAAGAAAAATAAAAAAAAAATATTAAAAAATAAATAATAAATAATAAATGCTAAATAAATCCGAAAATAATATAAAATAAAAAAAAAATTATTTGGTAGCATATTTTTAGAAATTAAGTGGCTAATTGACATAAGGGTAGTATTGAAAATAAAATTTTGTATGCGATTATCACAAAGAAAATTTTAAGAAATGCACATATCACAATTTCTTATCTATATAATCGGCTTATTGCTAATGACCCCTTAAAAAATTACTACATACTTGCAAGTATCAAGTATGGGAGTATGGGACCATTATTAATTCACCCAAAACAATGAACAACTGGATTCTTGGCAAAATATACAATTAATGCCATGTCACTATCAACTTCCAATCCATCATGCCAAAACAACTGTAATAACTAATAACGGATTTTGAATTAAACTTCTTCTCTAACATATTTATAGCAGCAAACTCCTCAATGTATATATCCAAGAAGCTGGCTTCCGAGGGGGAAAAAAATTAAAAAAAATTCAAACCAACTATGCATTTTTTACTCGTGAACTACTTTTATTTATCTAGTATAAATAAATATTGACAAAAATAAAAAAATAATAATAATAATAAATAGATACTCTACAATTGGGCATAAATCAGCTCATTCCACGTGTCAGGAACACCAGGTAGGCACCAATGCAAACAGTCATTTATACCCTCCGATGCCTTTATACTGTACCTCGATATATGACCCTCGTCCCTCAGTTCCGAAAGGGCAGTTATGTCCAAAATCTTCACCCTCGTCCCCCTCACAGCACCCTCCACAACGGGGTCGCTCGGATCATCTCCCGCCACCTCAGCGCCCTTCGACAGCGGCGACATGTTGTCACAGCTGCCGCCCGTGTTCCAATCCCCGTGCGCAAAATGACGCGGCGAAATCGTTCGCATAAAAACCCTCAACTCCGGGCGAGCTTCAATCTCCGAGTCGAGCCACCTGGCGATGCTGTACAGCGTGTGGTTCTTCGCGCGGCCCATCTCCGCCAGATGTCGATCCGTCACCGGCCTGTCGTCCGCGTACATCACCCACCGGTTCGCGTTGAGTTTCCCCCTGTTCCAGTGGTGGCCCGTGTTGAGCACCACCACGTGGAACTCGGGCAGGAACCGTTTCAGGAAACCGGGCGGGCGGTCCAGGTGCATGGCGAAATGGGTGTTCGGGTCGGTGGCGTTGATTGGTTCGATGCCGCAGAGGCTGGCGGACCAGTAGTATAGAATGGTGGTGTTGGTGGCGGGGAATCTGTAGGCCCACCCGTCTGGGCGGATCGATCCGCGTGGTTTTACGAGCCCGTATTTTTTTTCGAGGTTTTCGACGTTAGGGTTTTCTTCACCCCCCGATGCCATGCACATTAGGGATTGGAATTGCTGCCTGCCTAGAGAGTCTCCTATGAATGCAATCGTCTTGTCCTGCATTCTGAAAAAAATAAAAGAAGATACGATCGGCACAAAATCGAAGCAACTTTTATAAAATTGTTAAAAAAATCCTCGTGTTATTAATTCTAGCGAAAACCCCTATAATGCAATTTTTTTTAGCACACAACTATCGGAAAAAATGTGAAACGATTGACAAATGTATCGAAGTAGAAAAATATATATATACCTTCTCAAAAACTCTTCGCCTCGAAACTCGGGCATCTCACAACCGTTTGGCTGCCATCGGAAACCCTCATAAGAAAAATCGGTGCGCTGTGTAAGTCTACACGCCCACATATCCGATAGCCACTGCTTACATCCGAACCCAGAATACAACGGTCTTCTACTATCTGCTACCCATCTTCCTTTACCGTAATTACAATCTGTTGAAACAAATATTACAAGATATTTATAATCGCAAAATATTAAACTTGTAATGAAATTTCATTGACACAAGAGATCCAAACTTTAAAAAAAAATTGCAAAAGAAAACCGTTATACCTTGCTTCTCAAGAGAGGCCGAAACCCCGTTCTCGACTTTTTCTTCAGTAGAAAGCACATTCTCCCTTTCCACATCAATCTCAGAATGTTCTAGAATCTTCTCATCTTCTTTAGTTTCTGCCGTTTGAGTAACTGAATCTTCCTCCATCAACTGTTCCTTGGGGTTCGTTAGAACCAAAGAATCGGCAGAATCACCTAACCAAAACTCTGTAATTGAAACATACTTCAATTCAGTCGAGCCCCCCTTTATACTGTTACAAATTACTTTAAAAATCTACAAACCCTTTATCATATCCGCAATATCGTACGTAGACATCCGATATTAGAAAGAATGCTGATCAAATTGAAGTTAAAGTTAACAACAGTATTTCATCCTATTTGGAAATATGTACATATTAATTTCAAATATACGGATTTCGAAAAGAAACAAAAGATAAAACTATTTATTGGTAATATAGGATTAGTTATACTTCGTTTAACAGATGTATTCACGAGGTTTAGGTCAAATTTTACACTAAGATAGACATAAATCAGATTGTTACTCGGTGGCATTCTTTCCAATATAAAATGTATTATATTTTTATGGAGATAAAGCAAATTAATTTTATTTTTAGTGAAATGGGGAAAATATTTCAGCTCTGTTGGAAGGCCGTTAGTTTTATATTCGATTTTTAAGACAAATATAATTTTATTTTATTACAACAATGAACTTCTTTCGAGTTTTCTCAAAATTGCCCAAGGACCAGTTCAGACTCACCCAAACCTCAGAAACGAAAACGAGATTTTGCTGGAATATGATTTTGACATTTAAAAGTAAACCCTTTATTTTTTTTGCTAAAACGGGAAGTTACTTATTCAATTGTCGGGATTTATTTGCAAGTGTTTAATTATTTGAACCATTTACGAGAAATAAAAACTAAAAGTAAATAAAGGGCTTATTGCAAAGAAAGATATAAACTATTATGAAGCAACTAGAAATAAAAAATGACGAGATAAATTACGAGTACCTGGTGTCTGCATGATGAACTGCTCTTGTGCAGATAATAGACTGATCACGAGCGGGTTATACTCCCAAGCCCAAAAAAATATGGTGGTAATTACAAGAGCTGCCACTGTAAAAGACGACTGTCGTCCCCAAATTCTACTCGAATGTCCACCCTTCATCTCTTTAATTATTCCCACTTGTGAGTATTAGATTAAATACTCCAAGCCTCGGTGGGCATGTATGTATAGACCGTCACTTGTATACGATATCAATATAAACATAGAACGAATCTCACGACTTTGTAATTCAATCTGCACGAAAAAAACGTAACACAGTCTTAGAGCTTCGGCCTTTGTTAATAAATTCAATTAACGTGTCGAAACGAATTTCAAGAAAATAGAAAATAAGAACTATTGGTTTATCAAGAATTCAAAATATCCGTCTCGAGAGAAATCAAGAAACGGTACATACACGAGTGTCGAAATACAAGGCCCAAATCCTATGCTGTCGAAATTACTATATAAATTTCGTTTTCTTTAACCTCAAAAACTCTAAATATCTCTTGAATCAACGGGAAAATTCCCCACTTCTATTTGTATGAAATTACCAATTATATCAACTCTTACTATATTACGACTTTGTAATTCGATCTGCATGAAGGAGAAAAAAAAAAGTCTTAGAGCTCCGGCCGTTGTAATTAAGTCCAATTAACGTGTCGAACGAATTTCCAGAACATAGAAAATAAGAACTATTGGTTAATCAAGAATTCAAAATATCCATCTCGAGAGAAATCAAGAAACGGTACATACAAGAGTGTCGAAATACAAGGCCCCAAATCCTATGCTGTCCAAATCACTATACAAACTTTGTTTTCTTTAACCTCGAAAAATCTAAATAGCACTTGAATCAATTAGAAAAATTCCCCACTTCTATTTCTATGAAATTTACCAATTATATCAACTCTTACTATCAATCAGCATTATCAAATTTATGACTAATGGGAAAATAAGTGGGTGCCTTATAAAACAAAAAAAAAAAAAAAAAAAAACCCCACAATCTTGACTGACTGGCTACTGTCTCTTTCACACAATCGAAATTCAATTGAAGGCAAAAATAGCAAGCAGTAATTCGAAAAAAATAAATGCTGAAATTCCCCAAAACGAATAAATGGATCCTATTACAAGCAATGTAAACATAAACAAAAACAATACGGCATCGTTTCATCGTTTGTAATTTGGGGGGAAAAAAAAAAAAAACAGTACAATTGCGAATGCGTTCGTTCACCTTTGGTTTTGCTGAACGATTGTAGATCTGTCAGAATTCTTTGCCGTAATGTGTGTGTTTTTTTTCTTTTTTTTTTTTGGGTTTCCTCCCTGAGAAAGTTGATAGATAATAGATAGATCCAAATACGTATATATATATATTACTCAAAAAAAAATACGTAATTATATATATACACATGGTGACATGGGTTTTGATTGCGTAACGGGTCGGGTAATTTACCGATTTGGATATTCTTAATTAGCTGTGTGACAGCCCACTGTAAGATTCCGTGGAAAACGGACGTCGGCCCAATAACGTTTTGTGAAATATACTAATTTGATATAATTTTAAGTTTTTCAGGTTGATAATTTTTTTTTTTTTAAAAGACTCATTGGATTTGGATCGAGTCAACAATTCAACCAATTCATTTATAGTGACTGGGTTGATGGTTTATAATATAATAAAAAAATCAGCTGATTAATAATTATTGGTCAACCAACTATATTAATAAAATGTCGTTTAATTTATAAATAAATAATGTGATTTTTGTAAGTGGGTATTGGAAGTCTAAATATTATTTACTATCAATTATCATATTGGAAAGTTTGAACATTGAAGTATTTTTTGTTGATTTGATATTAATTGTTGTTAAATGATGAATGGTTATGGGCTTATATTATGCTACACCGGGTGAAATATACCGGGTATATCTTTATCATTCATATACATATAAATATACACACACACCTACATTGGTGTGTGTAGATCAACGGTAAAAAATCACCCAGTGTAACCTTCACTGGGTGTAGCATAGAAACAACCAATGGTTATGATATAATGATGTTATGGCAAAATGTGCATATTTAGAATCATTTTGAAATTTCATAAAACTATTTTAATTGTCGTTTTTCAGCTTTTCACAAAGATTAAGAATTTTATTAAATGTGTCTTGATTTTAGGAAAATGTATGCTTTTAGACTAAAATGACCTTGTCTTATAATTAATAAGAGAGAGAAATTAGTTGAAAAAAGAAGTATTGGAAAGAGTTAATAAGGGTATAAACTGGAAATTAAGTAATTAATGAGTGTTGGAAATTTAAAGTGACAGATAATATGGAACAAAAAAAATTCTCAAAAGCGACAAATATTATGAAACGGATGGAGTATTAATTATTTTGAACTATTAATGATGAAACACATTGGCATTATTTTCCTACATACGAATTTCGACAACTCATTTTGCTACAACAACATCATTCTCCGTGTTTCGAGTTATTTCTCCGAACAGAGTCAATCCTATCAGATGTCACGTTAATTGTTCTAGACTCTAGTTCAACAAACTTGCCGCCTAACGCTCGTTCGAATTCCTGATCCCTAGTAGATATGGCGACGAGGAATACAACCCATTTTGTGTTACTAGTGAAACCCCTTAATTGTTTAATTAAATAAATATTTTATACAATTATATATGTTATACCTATATTACCCTACTTATATATTACCCTACTTATAACTACAACTAGGGGTGTAAATGAGACCGAGCCGGCTCGCGAGCTTTCTGAGCTTGCTCGAAAAAAGCTCGTACTCGAGCTCGAAAAATCAAGCTCGAGCTTGAGCTCGAGCTCACGAGCCCGAGCTTTTTGACAAGTCGAGCTCAAGCTTCATTTCAGTTGTTCGACAGCTCGCGAGCTTTACCTTTTTTCTATATTTTTTTAATACATATTAATAATATATAATAATGAATATTATTAATAATAAATAAAAAATAATAATATTACTTTTGTAATTTAAAAAAAAATTAATAAGACAGACATAGTATGAGACTATTGCTAAGACATTAACATTCGAATAAAGAAAATAGATTTATTTTATTAGTTAGTTTTAATCTTGTAATTTATTATTTGATTAAAGAAAAGAAAATTGAAATTAAACACAAAAGAAAAATAAAAAAGTGGAATATTTGGTTATGCCGAGCTCGAGCTCGGGCTCGTTTGGTATACGAGCTCGAGCACGAGCTCGAGCTCATTAGAAACAAAACGAGCTCGAGCTCGAGCTCAAAACTATAGGCTCGTCGAGCTCGAGCTCAAGCTCGAGCCTGGTATACTTGTAGCGAGCTCGAGCTCGAGCTCACAAAATAAGGCGAGCTCGGCTCGTTTACACCCCTAACTACAGCCACTATCACTTTCTAACGTTGCCACCCATTTTTTCTCTTTAATTAATCACTGTCTCTCTTTTTCTCTCTCTTTTTTTTTTTCTTTTCTTCCTTCTCCACAAGTGGCCGACATATTCTGCCCCTCCACCCGTCGCAGCCTATGTCTGCCGATGTCGCCATCTCCGCCCCTCACCGTTATCCGCCACTCCGCATCGCCTTGATGATGAAAATTGCTCGAATATAAAGTTTTCATCTTCTTTTTTTTTCCGTAACTTGAGCAACGATGTGGATGATTCTTGGAAATCTAGATCCGTTACTTGACAGTAATCTCATTGATGTCAGAGTGAAGATTGGTCATTCGATTCAAATCTTAAAGTGTTCCTCTCTCTCTTTTTCTTTTTTTTTTTTTGGGATTCTCTGCGTTAGGTTTTTGTTGTAGAAGATGGTGTTTTTAAGTTGTTTTCGTTATAGTTGTTTTTGTTACTGTTGTACTTGATTTCATTAACCAACTATATTTTATAGTTGTTTTCGATCTTTTTGTAGTTGATGGTGATTTCGACAATATATAACTGATTTTGTTTTTTTTTTATAGTTGATTTTTCATAATTTGAGTTTTTTTTTTTTTTTCCGGTAATTCTGCTATCGTAAACCACTATTTTTTGTAGTTGTTTTGCAATATTCTTATGGTTGATTATGGAAAAAACGAACGAAAAAGTAGTTGTTTTCAGTAATTTTGTAGTTGATTCTGGAAAAAAAAAAATCAAACAAAAAACTGAGAATTAAAATAAATAACGACACGAAAAAGAAAATGAAAAAAAAAAGTTGATTATGGAAATATTTTAGTTGGTTTTCGGAATATTTGTAGTTGATTATGAACAAAAATACTGGAAATTAAAAAAACAAAATATATTTTTAAAAGTTATTAATTATTTTTATATTAATTAATTAAAATGAAAATTAAAATTACATATAAAAAAATAATCAAAGTAAAAAAAATATAATTTCATCGACCTCATAATTAAAATTTCAACTGTTGTTTGGATTTGCATGCATCTTTATATGTTTCTTGTTTTTTAATAAGAGGAGATGACACTCGAAGAAAAAATAATATTAAAATTAAACTTAAAATTAAAAAAAAAAAAAAAAAAAAAAGGAAGTTGTGAGGAGATTAATATATTTTAAGAGAGTGGTTAGCACGTCCACACGCATAGAATTAAATTTTATAGCCAAAAAGAGCTGCAAAAATTGACTATTGTCGCGAATTATGGATCTTGGTTTGTCGATCAACACTTATTATATTTTCAAATATAATAAACAATTAAGCATTACACCGACGAGTCCTCGTCGACAACTTGTAAATACTATTTATCTTCAAAAATTACACATTTGTGTATAGAGTTTATTTTATGCTACACTAACATATATAAACAAACACACTCAAATTCACACTAGAGTGTAGATGATGGTGCTTAATTAGTTCATCTAACTTGATTCTCAGATATTTGGATTTCAACGTAGTGGGCCGCCACGACAAATATTATTAATTATAAGATGATGCCACGTATAGACAATAAGCAATGAGTCGAACTTGTCTCAACCACAGGCTTTCTATATTAACTAAAATATCAAGCACGCAAATTACATATAAATCTAATTAATTAACCACAAAAAGTATTAAAATACATGCAAATAATTAAAAAAATTAATTAGCCCACAAAAAAATTTATATAAATAAAGAATTTCGATATCACTATTGAGAAAGTTAGCTCGTGTGGAATTACTTATCCTCAAATGCAACGGTACATAGACAAAATCTGGATCTCTAACTTCGTAAATTAGGATCGCCCATTGAGATAAAGTTAAATTACGAAAAAAAAATCTTTCTTGTTTGGGTAATTACAATCACAACCCTTAACCCTCAGCTATGATTTTTCTTAATGTCCATTCTTGTGGTTTCAAATTTAGTGGAATCTTCTAGATTATATGAAATATTTTCCAGTTTGTACTCGTTTTGTGCAAAAAAATGTCGTTTATGATGCACCACAATCTGATATTTATAAGTTAAGAGACACATGTTGTGATTATTTTATTTTAAAATATGGAGCTCGAATGGGATAAAACATGTATAAACTGGAGAATATTTCAGATCATCTAAAAGATTCCACTAAATTTGAAAATTCGTAATTGGGAGTTGATTGTAAGAAGATTCGTAGTTGAGAGATAATTATCCAAACAAGTAGTTTCGTAATTTAACCTTAGTTCAGGGGTGACCGTAATTGATTTCTCAATTTACATAAAATCTTAACACCGTGTCGTGTGATCCGATAAGAAAATAAAAATTGCACTGCGTGACATGTGAAATCTGATATCTAGGCGGAATATCATGTGCAATCACTAATATTTTATTTTGATTTTAAAATTACTTATGTTTTCTTTATTTTTTTGTAATTTTATTTTGCCTTTAACTATTCAATATAACACACCCATTATTGCAAAGAGCGATGTTGGCACTTGACCATGGATCGTGCATTATGTATGGATCAATTTGTGGATATGCACACTCGTTTCCATAAAAGTTAACTTAAAAAACTTGTAAGATTATATTAAATTTGACTTTATTACAAGTCTTTGAATTATATCATGAGACTACTATATTTAAATTTGTAATTTGTAATTTGGTTTCACGAATCACTCCCATGCATAAGAATTTTCATTTATTACACATCAAACTTTTTCAATGTTTAAAAAACCATTTTAAAATTGAATAAAAAATCGAAATCTCATATATATTCCAATTCGTTGATCTAAAAAATTTCGAAAAAAATTTGTTGGCTTCGGGATAATTCCATTTTATTAAAGAGAGATGGTGCCTACTCCACATATAATTAGTGAATAAAATATTTTTTAAATTTTTTGTTAAGTAAAACAGCCGCGTAGGATATGAATTCCTTTTCATTTTATTTAATTTAGTGTTTGTTATGTAAGAGGACCGCCGGCAAATTGACCTTGCATTCATAATTTGTTAGGAGATCTATGCTTTACAATTGGCAACATATTGTTTCAACTGCAGTATATGAAAATTTAGTATGGTATTTATAATTGATATAGACACACCCCTTGGTTGATGTAATTTAAAATTTGGTTAAGAGACCCAACCTCATATATCATTGGGCCTTGTTACTGTAGGCTTAAGTTCATATATTATCGAGCTTTATTATTATAGAGGTTCAAGTTCGGCTAATATATTTTTTCGGGTTTCGGGTTTATATCAGGTCTCGTTACTATATAACTCTAATGAATAACTTTTTTTTTATGCAAAACTAGTAATAGACAATATTTACCTCTATTAAAACCAATCATAAGAAATCCTAAATGATGTTTGTAAATTATTGGAATTTTTTTGAAACAAGACTGAAAGAAGTAAAAAAAAAAAAAAGATTAGTATCTCTTATTATTGGAAATCTTTTACATTCTCAAATATTGGTGATGAATTTCCACAATTGAGTTTCGGTTAGTATGTTGCATTTGATTCTATTTTACCTATTACTAATGCCACTACTTAATTCCTCTTATGTTAGACTTTTTTCTTTTCTTTTTGCAAAATAAAATATATATACACAGTTGTAACTTGTATGATGAGCCATAACATTTATATAATAAATATAGTATATATTTTATTATTAACTTAAATAGTCATACCTTGTTTGGGTTACCCATAGTACACTAAAACTCGATTCATAAATAAATCGAGTATAGTAAAATGACTCAAACTCGATCCGACTCACTAAATAATAATTTCGGCTCAAATATAATTGGGGCGACCAATCGGCCTTCGGTTAGGCCCGCTTAATCCCCGGTCCTATAAATAACCATGATAATTGTTATTAACTTTTTTTTTTGTTTTCCATAGTTATGGTCTTATGGACAATTTTCTTTCGAACAAAATTTAATTAATCTATTAAAATAATAACATGAGTTTGATTTTTTAAACACATTAAATATTGAAGAAAACGCGTGTGAAAGTGTCCTGGGTTATTTATATCAGTGAGGGAAGACAAAATAGCATAAATCACCGACAAAATATTATACTGAAATTTAATTTGAAATAAAATCATTAATTACATACACTTATGTAATTAATCTTCTTTACTCCATCGTTCTCAACAGAATTTGAGGATTCCAAGTAACAATAAATTTCAAATCCCTCTAAATTGTAGTAATTTAAAAACCTTACCCATATTCATCAACCCAAAATCACATATACTTTAAAACACCCAGAGTGTGCTCACAAATGAACTCATCGCCAGATCGAGTTTGTCACACTTAGCCCAGTAGAATTCACATCTCTTGTATAATTTAGGGTAAATTACAAACACCCCCTGAGGTATGGTCAAATTATAAAAACACCCATCTTGTTTGGATAATTACAACCACCCCCTCAACTCCTCAAATTTAGTGGAATCTTCGAGATTATATGAAATATTATCACTTTTGTACCCGTTTTATCCCATTCAAACTCTACATTATGAAGCAAGATGATCATAATATGTGATTTTTAACTTGTATATATCAGTTTGTGGTGCATCGAAAACTATATTTTTACACAAAACGAGTACAAACTAGAGCACATTTCACAGAATCTAGATGATTATGTTGAATTTGGCACCATAAGGGTCGAGGTGTAAGAAAAAATCATAGTTGAAGGGGGTAGATGTAATTATCCGAACAAGAGATGTTTTTTTGTAATTTGACCATACCTCAGGAGTGTGTTTGTAATTTACCCTATAATTTATAAACTATTATACCAGAGTGTAAATTTACCCAATATGAGATGACTCCGGTTTCTTTTATTAGAAAACAAATATTAATATCTATTTGCACAAAAAATATTTTTTGATTTATGATAGTAATGATTTAATTGAGAGTTAGATTTGGGTGGTGTGGTTAAGGGAGGGGCAAAAGCGTCATTTGACACGTAGCTAATAAGTAGTAATAACCTCCCTCCTCCAATCATGTACATACAATTGTGAAATGAAATAGAGTCCGTTCTCTCTGTAACAATCAGAGACTTTTACTCCTTCCATTTATTTTTACCTGTTCTACGCTAAAAACACGTAGTCGGTGGCGCTTTCTCTCTCTATCTTCTCTCTCTCTCTCTCTCTCTCACACACACACGCGCACACTCACTGTGTGCCAGAATTTCACGGTATTCTCGGCGCTTCTTTCTTCTTAGTTTACTCCATTTTTTTCATTTATCTCTGATACAAATCCAAAATAAACAAAGAGAGAAGGTAAAAAAAAAAAAAAAAAAAAAAAAAGTAAAGGGGAAAGTAGTTACTGTACCATCTCACCATTTTTTCAATCATTAAATACTCAACCGCAGTACGCCAATAGTAAAAAATAAAAAAATAAAAAAAAAATAATACCCATGTGAAAATGAATAAAATCCACGAAAGCTGAATCCTTTTTTTGCTGCATCTCACGCATACATATATATATTATCTTATATATAAATACAGGGTCTCTGTTTCTCTCACTGCAAGCTTCTTCATTGAGAGCAAACCAAATCACCGACACTTTCGGAGGAAAAAAAAATGAGCCAATGAGCGGAGCTGATTGCTTTCTCCGTCACAGATCTGTATCCGGATTATAAACAAAGGTACGTCTGAAGAAAAAAAATAAAAAAATCCAGCTGCCACAGCTGATGATTCGTTTTTTTTTTTTATGTTTGTATTTTGTCTTAATCGAAGAAATTTCGAAAAATGCTGTTGTTGATTTGAGCTGCGTGTGATTCTGATCAGATCTTGTTCTTTGGATTTGTGATTCTCTGATGTGTGTTGTAGATCTGGGGGGCTGTTGAAGATTTTGTTTGTTTTTTTTGGGGCAATTGAAGAATGGTGATTAATAGCTGTTGTTTTGTTGCTGGATCTTTTAATTAGTTATTAATTACAGATTACCAGCATTGATAATCTGATCGTCTTCTTTTAATCAGGTTCTGTTTGTGTATCTTAAGTCGGATCTAATCATGATCTGGATTTGATTGCTTTTGTAGTGTTGGAAAATTTATCGAATTCGTCGCAATTAATGCTTCCGATTAATTACTAAATCACACAATTTAATGTGCTTCTATCTTGATTAAATGTAGTGGTTACGGTAAATCTTATTCATTTGCTTCTGTAGGTGCAATATTGAGAAATCTCAGGAGTGATTGGAAAGTGTAGAAGTTAAAGATGGCTTTAGGAAAATACTCGAGAGTTGACGGTAGGAAATCGTCTTCGGGCTATTGTTCGACGGTGACGATTGTGGTTTTCGTAGCCCTTTGTCTGGTTGGGGTATGGATGATGACGTCGTCGACGGTTGTCCCGGTTCAGCCGTCCGATGTTTCGCAGGAGAACAAGAACGAGTTGAAAACGGACGTGACCGAAACAAATGCCGAGAATCAAAACGATGCTACGAACAACGAGGACAATAGCAATGCAAATGAAGATAATGGCGAGGGGAAACAGAAGCAGTTTGAGGACAATCCAGGTGACTTGCCCGATGATGCGACCAAAGGTGACAATAACGTCGGTTCGAATAATCAGGCGGAGAAAAACGAAGCACCTGAAGAGACTGATAAGAGCACTGAGCAGAAGCCTGTGGAAGAGAAAAAAGATGAAGTGGAGGAAAAGAAGGAGGAAGATGGATCGAAAGACGAATCGGAAAACGGGGAGAAAAAGAAAGATGAAGAAAGTAATCAAGATTCCGAATCTGATGACACCAAAGAGAATACTTCCGACGAAAGTGAGAAAAAGTCTGAAGAAAATAATTCTGATGAGAATGAGAAGAAGTCTGATGATAATAACGGAGAAGGGCAGATAGAGGAGAAGGTGGATAACAAGAAAGACGACAAGTCGGATGAGAACAAGGAAAAATCGAGCGAAGTTTTCCCATCTGGATCTCAATTAGAGCTTACCAATGAATCAACGGTCCAAAATGGTTCGTTTTCGACACAGGCTACAGAGTCGAAAAAGGAGAAGGAAGCTCAAAAATCATCACAATCGGAGAGCCAAAGTAAATCTACTTGGAAACTTTGCAATACCACAGCGGGGTATGATTACATTCCTTGCCTTGATAATTTGGAGGCAATAAAGAAACTTCATACAACTAAGCACTACGAGCACAGAGAGAGGCACTGTCCGGATAATCCTCCTACTTGCCTCGTTCCTTTACCTGAAGGGTATCAACGCTCGATTGAGTGGCCAAGAAGTCGGGAAAAGGTATAATATTATAAACAAGAGTGTGTTTTCATAGATGTTTTTGTAATATTTTTTTTTTATGTTTTGTTCTAATAAGATTCTGTTTTTTATGACAGATTTGGTACCATAATGTTCCCCATACTAAGCTTGCGGAAGTTAAAGGACACCAAAATTGGGTTAAAGTTAGCGGCGAGTACCTAACCTTTCCCGGTGGTGGGACCCAGTTCAAGCACGGTGCTCTTCACTACATTGACTTCATACAACAGGTAATTGACTTGATTTGAACCTGCGTTTATCACTTCTTTAATAAATCGATATGTAGAATTGTATTTGGATTGATTGAATCTTAAAATTGATAGATGAGTTGCTAATTGGCTTGATTTTGATATGCATTGTTATATATAGTCTGTGCCTGAAGTTGCATGGGGAAAGCGTTCTCGACTTGTTCTAGATGTTGGGTGTGGAGTTGCTAGCTTCGGTGGTTTTCTATTTGACAAGGATGTGTTGACTATGTCATTAGCCCCAAAGGATGAACACGAAGCTCAGGTTCAATTTGCACTCGAAAGAGGAATCCCTGCTATTTCTGCTGTTATGGGTACTAAAAGGCTCCCTTATCCCGGTAGAGTTTTCGATGTTGTTCATTGTGCTCGTTGTAGGGTGCCTTGGCATATTGAAGGTACTTTTAATTCTTTCGAACAATATATGTAAATATTTATATATTTAAATACATATATCGGCAAATGTATAACAAATTAACTTCACGATATTTAGGCGGTAAGCTTCTGTTGGAGCTGAACCGTTTGCTACGACCTGGTGGTTTCTTTGTTTGGTCTGCGACTCCCATTTACCAGAAACTTGAGGAAGATGTTGAGATTTGGGAAGGTAATTTTTCTTCTAGTCTGTTTTAAGGTGAAGCTTAAATTATACGTCTTCTTTTTTTTTTTTTTTTTAACTGTTTAACATGTAAAAAAATTCCTGGTAATAATATTGGCAGACATGAAAAAATTGACACAAGCAATGTGCTGGGAAGTTGTTTCGATAACAAAGGACAGAGTAAACGGAGTTGGAATTGCTGTATATCGCAAGCCTCTTACAAACGAGTGCTATGAACAAAGGCCAAAAAGTGATCCTCCTCTATGCGAAGAATCTGATGATCCAAATGCTGCCTGGTATGCTTTTAATTGTTATTACACACAAAAAAAAAAAAAACAGAAATTAGTTGATTTTTTAATTTAATTTAATTTATTTATTTTTTGTGCGACTGGTTTTGAAAATTTGTTGATATGATCAGGAATGTGCCTTTACAAGCATGCATGCACAAACTGCCAGTTGCTTCGACAGAACGTGGGTCCCAATGGCCAGAACTGTGGCCTGCCAGGGCTGCGAAGGCGCCTTATTGGCTGTCGAGTTCCGAGGTTGGAGTTTACGGAAAGCCTGCTCCAGAAGATTTTGCAACCGATTATGAACACTGGAAGCGTGTAGTAAAGAACTCTTATCAAAGTGGTTTGGGAATAAACTGGTCTACTGTCAGAAATGCCATGGATATGCGAGCTGTATACGGAGGGTAAGATTTAGTGACAGATTATCTCAATTACCGAATCTATAAATTTTAGCGACCAATTCGCTTGTACTTAATCGACGACTCAAACTTTGTTGCAGATTGGCTGCTGCGATGAAAGAATTGAATGTTTGGGTTATGAACATAGTCTCTATAGATGCACCCGACACACTGCCCATCATATACGAAAGGGGTTTATTTGGAATTTATCACGACTGGTGTGAATCTTTCAGTACTTACCCGAGATCTTACGACCTTCTCCATGCAGACCATCTCTTCTCCAAGATTAAAACGAAGTGCGTAAAATAAAATATATCGCTTGATTTTATTTTTTTTTTCCGTTTCTTTTTCTAAATCTTTCGAATTGGTGGGGTTTTTTGACAGGTGCAATATCATGGCATTGGTTGCGGAGGTTGATCGGATTTTGAGACCAGAGGGGAAGATAATTATTAGGGATACTGTTGAGATTATTAATGAAATGGAGAGTGTGTTCAGATCTATGCATTGGGATATTCGAATGACGTACTCGAAAGACAAGGAAGGATTGTTGTGTGCACAGAAATCTATGTGGCGGCCTACTGAGGTGGAAACCGTGACTTACGCTATTGGTTAAAAAAGAATACACACACACTTCCGATTATTGAAGCTTCGTTTTCGTACCACGAAGGTTAGGTACTTTGCTTTTATTTTTTTGTTATTTGGACCTGGCTATATCATCATGTATCACGCCTTAAGCCAAATTTAGTGTTTTGTTTTTAGCTTTAATTTCTTGGTTTAGAGGTTTTGTCGAAGTTTCCTTTTTCGTTGTAATCATGTAAAATTAGGGGCTGTGAAGAGCAAGAAACGCATACACTGCAGAAAAAAACAGTACTGCTAAAATTCGTTTTTCTGATTCAAATGCTATTATTATTCGTTGAAATTTTGATTAGATATTTCATTTTTTTTTTTAATTTTTTTTTTGTTTTCGGTCGATTATTGCCTTAAAATTTACATTTTAGAATTGCATTGGCTAGGGATGGCAGAATAACCCGATCCACTAGCTATCCATGGGTATTCGCCCCGTTTAAAACTCGTTACCGAAACCATTAAGGTTTGGTAATGGTTTTGGTAAAAGAAATACAAATATTCACGGTCTTGGTGTGGTTCTGGTTTTACCACGTAGGTAATGGGTGCCGACCATTAAATAATATATGAATAATATAACTTTAACATCTAATGAATTGCTCAAGTACATGGCAAATTTCGTATGATTCCAATCAATTATATATCCTAAGTTTCATACTTCTGAAGTTTAATTATTTACATTTTCAAGATCTTGTAGTAAATATTGCTAGTTTAATTATCTTTTTGTTGTTGTGGAACTTCAATTTTGATGAAACGTCTTATTTCATTTTGTATAATTCGTTTAAAGTTATTTCATATAATCTAATGTAAATAGTAAATGGATACCCGTTGGTATCTAGATATTAGTAGTAATAGTTCTGGTATTTCAATTAAATTTTTAAATTAGTTTAGTATGGTTCTGATTTGAGATATATTAAATAATAATGGTTCTAATATTTCACTTTTTCTAGAATACCCGCTCTGCTGCTGTGGGGAATAAATGGTGCATTGTGCGTTGAGAGATAAATAAAAGGTCTAAAAAAATGGATTATTAGTTACTCACTTGCTAAAGCACTCAATGGAAATTTGAAGTTTTCTATACATCACTTATTTAATACAATTATGTGAACTCTTTACAAATTAAAAGTGTCACATTCGAGTTTTCATATGATCCAATAGTATAATATGGTACCATAATCAATTAAATTAATTATGAAATCTCAAGATTGAGAGAATGAGATACTAATGAATAAGCATACGTGATTTCAAAGAAACAGCCAAAATAAATAAGCGTCACTTTAATGCTTTGATGTTTTATGTAGACAGTGACGGAACCAATATTTTCTATAAGGGTGGGTGTAGACATCGAAATTTTGAGATAAATTAATAATTAATAACAAAAATAAATCATTTATTAATTAGGTCTCAAATTAAAGTCCATAATATATTTGAGCTTTAAAATGTCTGGCCCACACTGCAAAACGAGAAACCATATAACTTGTGCCAGGAAACTCTAGCTCATGGCTATAAAAGAAGGTCTCCAGCTCATGCAAAGACAGACACACACACATACACATATCGAACCCTCACGTCTCGAGCCTCCACCTCGGATTTATAACATATTTGAATTCGAGATGTTCGTGATAGGAAATCATTCGTTCGATTTAAGAACAAGCTTTTAAGCCTTTGAATCAAAATTAGAATAGGAGAGAAACATCAGGGGAATTACGTACGGACATTATAATCCACATCATTTTGATTAGTAAATTATATGTTCCCTACTTTCTTGTCTTTGTATTTATGTTTTACAGATTAGAAAAATTTGTGGTTAACGATGCATTAAACATTTTAAAAAGTTCGAGGGCAGTGTCCCCAATATTTTTTTTTTAATTTTTAAAAGCTTAACCAAAAAAACAAAAAGAAAAGAAAAAACTCAAATTAAATGCAAAATTGCATACTCTAATTAAATTGAAGGGAAAATTAAAGAAAACCCCTTTTTAGAAAATATAGTTAACGAAAACACCCTCTCCCAAAAATAATTAGAGAAAACCCCTTAGCCAATATTCCACTCAAGTAATATTTTCATAATTCTAAAACTACCCTTAATTGTCTATTATACTCTTTTAAAACCCTAATTTTCATCCATTCCACTTTCTCGTCTTCCTCCCTTCTCTGTTTTTTCTTTTTTTTTTTCTATGTTTTCTCCGGCAAATCTCTGCCGCTGCCGCCGGAAGATGGAGAACCCTAGTCTTCTCCGGCAACCCTAATTTTTTTTTCTATGTTTTCTCCGGCAAATCTTTTCTATTTTTCATAACATATACGCATTCGCGGATTGCAAAAAAATCACATACAACGAAATTAAGATGATTAATATTTAATCAATTTAAAATAACAATAAAATATTTGAAATCAAATCCTTTTCATCTTCTATAGTTGAGAAGGTAATTATCTTCTTTGGATCATGTTTACTCGAAAATGAAAATAGAACAATCGTGCTGATAACGTATTGAGACACTAGGAAATATTATACAAGAAGAAGAGAGCAATGTAGAGAGAAGAGAGATATTATTTCATATCTTCAAATGTATAAAATACATTAATGGTGGTCATCCACATCTTCAAGAATTCATAACACTTCTGATCAGTAAAATCTTTGTGGAGAAAAAAATAATGATAGGAAAAATATATTAATTCTAACACTAACCTTTAAGCATCCCAAACGTCACTAAAATACAAACGAAAAATCAACATTAATTAATAAATAAATTTATATAATGTATGTAAGTACACCCACATACAATTTTGTAGTCATATATATATTCATCAAACTATGGGGAAAACCAGAGAATAGTACAACAAGTCCATCCAAAAGAAAGACATGATAATTAATAAGATAAGATAAAACCAAATTGTAGTACTGATGATGAAGAAAGGCCCCTCGACTCATGCACATGCATAAATACGTACACATTGTTATTATTATTGAAAACAAAAAAAAGGACAATGCAATGAAGAAAAACATGGGAATTAAGGTAATAATTGTGTGTGATCTTTTATTATTGTTGTTGGAGTGAAAGCCAGTGGGCAAAGTTTTGTAGTGTAGTGGTATCTGCTCTGTAATGATTTTGTGTGAATTCTCTCAAATCCGACCATGTGAAATCTGGGTACATTCTTGGCTCTTGATGTTGTGCGTAAGGGGGCGGGCCCGGGGGTGGGGGCGGGGGCGGGGGCGGGGGCCGAACTATTTTGTCGTCTTTCGGGTTCACAAAGAACACCAAAGATCTCCTCACTCTCTCCTTGTTCACCACTGCTCTGTGTAGGCAACTCTTGTATCTTCCATTGTCAATGCCTACAAACAAATA